AAAATGTATTCTTCCCAAGCGTCGTTTTTAGCGTCATTCTCCTATGCAGTATGGAAGTTTCAAATCTGGTAGTAATCAGACAAAATCTCAAGGAAGAGTTGGTCTTTGAAGAACACTTGGAAATGGCCCTGAATTAAAATGGGGTCATCAAAGCAAAAACGGCAAGACTCCCTGTGTTTTTGAAACACAGAGTTTTTGTGGTGTGGCTCATGATTGACATTTCGACCAAATTTCATGTGGCAACGTGAAATTAAAACTGTATGGTTCTTCTGAGGTGTCATAATTTGCTGGTGTGTTTTTTTTTTTTTTTTTTTTGGGTGACTCATCAAACTTTTCCCACCATGTTCTGCCCAATGCAACGAAAAAAAAAAAACCCTTATTCATTTATTTATTTAGTTTACAATTCGGCATCCGTCTAATATAAGTGGTTCAAATCTGGAGGACGTCAGAAAAAAAAAATCTCAGGCCTTCCTGTGTGGAGTTCGCGTGTTCTCCGAGTGACTGCGTGGGTTTTCCCTGGGTACTCCGGTTTCCTCCCACATTCCAAAAACATGCGTGGCAAGCTAATTGAACACTCAAATTTGTCCCTCTGTGCAAGTATGAGCGTGGATGGTCGTTCGTCTTTGTATGCCCTGCGATTGGCTGACAACCGGTTCAGGGTGTCCCCCGCCTACTGCCCGAGGACAGTTGGGATAGGCTCTAGCACGCCCCGCAACCCTTGTGAAGATAAAGTGGATCGGAAAATGGATGGATGGAAGGTTGCCACTGAAGGACAGACACTTGGAAATGGCCCTAAAATTAAATCTTGAAGTGCTGTGCGACTTTTTTTGTGGGTCTACTCATTGTACAGTTTCTTACCAAATTTCACATTGCTATGTGACATTGGCTTCTAAGGCTCGCATTTCCCCGCCTCAAAAAAAGTAACTCCCAACCACAGACACAATAGCACATGGATGTTATACAGGCCGTCCAACGTGTAACATGTCGGAGCGGGAATTGAACCGTAGTCAGTGAACTATGGATAGCATCCAAAGAATCTTCATACCAGAGCACTTTTAGTGGCTGTCACGGCAGGTTCAACACACGGATACAGTCTAACCCTTGCGCGGGTGCGGGAATGTCAATGTGGGGCAGGGAAACAGCTGAATTGCTTTGAATTGAATTTGGGCAGACTTTCCCATGCTGCTTTTCACCAGTTCACATTTTGTGAGTAGCAGTGGGGGAAATGAATCATGTGAGCCAACATTGTTTTAGCACAGCGTAAACATGCGCAGCTGCATTGGCGTGTGTTTATTTCGCACAATTAGCTATTATTATGTGTGGGACAAAGCAGGAAGTGCTGCTGGTAACGTCCATTCACAATTTTCACTCGGGGTCACACAGCTGTCAGGATGTCATGACACACACTCATAGGTTGCAGTGAAAAAAAAAAAAAAACATTCATGAAATAAAATGGAGGAAATTCAACAAAAATAATGTTCGATGTATGTTTAAATACATATATAAATATATGGATATATACAGTAATCCCTCGCTATGACACAGTTCATCTTTCATGGCTTTGCTGTTTCATTGATTTTTTTTACACAGATTTTTTTTGGTGCATTTTTTTTCCAGCGCATTTACAGACCTGACTAAATCATATTTTAACGTTACTGTAAAACCCACGCAGGCACGGGGGAGAACATGCAAACTCCACACAGGGAGTGTTTGCATGCTTGTGTCTTTCTGTCTTCATATGACACAACCGTAGATAACCCCACGTTCATTTCATCTATTTGAACTGTGTGCCTCTGTGGCACAACCCTTTCAATTCAGATGCTGTTGTGTTTATTTTTGCAATCTTTCCGTGCGTGGATACGAATACGTTTTGCGTTTGTGTGCCCACGTGTGCCTGTCACGTGGCGTTTAATAAACACAAAAGAGACAGCCCTCTCCGATCAGACAGCGTTGATAGACAGCTCATTTTTCCCCCCCAGGATTAGGAGACATCCCGTTTCCAATATCCAGATTTGTTATCTCTTGAGTGGCACACCGCCACCGCTGCATTTGCTGTCTGACGGTTTAACAAGGTGTCTGGCAGATGCGTTTACGTTTGTCTGTTCGTGTGTAAATGTGTCCATGCAGAAATGTCAGTGATGTGATCAGACAGGTTCGCGGAAAGAGCAGAGGAATGGTGCACTGCATGATCATGCAACACACTCAAAAACTTGGAACTTGATGACGGGGCGGTGTACTTAAAAGGATTTGACCGCAAGCTCCCTGAACCTTTCTGTTCCCGTGGTTAATTTTGAGGAGACATGGCAAAACTTGATGACGGGGCGGTGTACTTAAAAGGATTTGACAGCAAGCTTCCTGAACCTTCCTGTTCCTGGTTAATTTTGAGGAGACGTGGCAAAATTTTCAGTCTCCTCTTGGATAAAAAGTGTTTCCTTCGTAAATATCGATATTATCTCCTCCATTTGCCTCACTCATTGCCCTCAATCTCTTTTAAGATCTATTTTAGCCCCTTCATAAATGCAGATAGTCCCCATTGCTGCAGCACCCCATGCTTGTACTTACCAAGGAGACAATTTAACCCGAGAGGAGCTCCGTTTTCTTGCTCCGCTCAAGACAACTTAATTTCCACACGTTTGAACAAGTCCCACTTTTTTTTTTAACCACAGCGCTACCTGCTGGACTGAGCTACTCCCTGCACCTCACAGTCCTAGTTATGGTTCTGTGAAGTGTCATGGATGTACAGGGTATTTTCTTAATACTTTATGCTGTATGGCACAAGTGACGAACGTTCACACTGAAACAAAGATGACAAGGATGCAGTGACTTGATTATATTTAATGGTTACACATTTACTCCTTATTATTTTTCACCATATATACTCCCAAATTGGATTATTTGTTCATTTTTTAAAAAATTTTAGATTTTTCCGCACAGATTTTAAAGACCATTCTATCTATCTATCTAGCTAGCTAGAGCTAGCTAGCTCCTGCTGGCTAGCTAGTTAGCTAGCTCTAGCTAGCTGGCTAGCTGTCTGTCTCTGTGTGTGTATTTATGACATTATCTAGGTATAAATTATCTAGCAATTCTAACTTTCCTGAGGGATGTCCTCCGTGTGATGACGTCCTTTCTACACAAGAGGGTGGTCTTGCTTTTCACAGTGTGTTTTTTTTTGGGGGGGGGGGGGACACTGGCGTTGAGTTTTGAATCATTCACGTTGACATCAGGATTAACGTGTGAGACTTTGTATTATGTTTACTTAATAAAGTTATGTATGTGTTAATAACACGCGGATCATTATAGAGTCCAACACAAACACACACAAAAAGGTACATTAAGGGAATATAACTTTTTTGTAGTATTACTATTCTAAAACTCTGAGAGGTCATCCTGAATTATGACCTTGAGAGCGCCTCATAGACAACTATAATTAGCGGTGTTTGTTGGCTGAGATGGCAGACAAAACACATTAGTAATCCATTCCCACACGCTTCCGTCGCTTGTCACCCACTCAGATGCTGAGAGGCGACGTCAACGCTCATTCTTACAAGACAAGTGTGTTGAAAAGACTTAAGTTACTGTACGTTTACATGATGTCCCCAGCGGCCATGGTAGCCCCATTTCAGGTCTCTGTGGACAAACCGGAATGTTCGAGAAACAACGCAGGGTAACAGGATGGGGAAACTTGAAAGACTGTGATTGCCGTGGATGCCCCGGGAGATTTTTCAACTGTCAAATCATTTTGCCATGGCAGTCAGGGTGTGAATGAGTAGCCTCGTTGGCCAGAGTAAAAAGGGTGCACACTTCTTGTTCTATTACAACTTTGTTTTCATAACAGTGTGTATTTTTTCTTGGAATAATACAACTTTATTTACGGGACAGTTTTCTCCTGATATGACAACTTTATTTTTGTTACTTTGCTACATTTTATTTCTAAGATTACAGTTTTATATTTGTAACATTGGAATGTTTTTCTCGTGAATGTATAGTTTACTTAATAAATATGTAAACTATCTGAAACTACAACTTTTGTTTCTAAAATCAAAACTAACTACAATTACAACAAAAATGTCCTTTTTTTTGATCATTAATATCATACATGAGCTTTCAGGGTTCCTTTTTAACGTATTTATTTCAGTCTTGTTGTACATCTGTAGATAAAGAAAGAGGAAGGTAAGTTGTTTGAGAATTGTAGTTTACTTGACTATTTTAATCAATACTGAGTGACACATTAAAAAAAATGAAAAAAAAAAACCTAAAACTAAAACTAATCCTAAAACTGATAAAAAATGACACTAAAATGAACAGGAAGTCGGCCATTTTGGTTTGAAGTTAGGTGATTTACAGGGTTTGTCTGTCAAAAAACTCCTAAGTACGGCATGGTAAAATGTCCCTGAAGTTGAAAGAATCTGCATTAAAGTACTTTATTAGTGGAAAAATTCCAATGATTGAGTTACATGAATTTTCTGGATAGCATTTATACTGTAATACGGGTAACAAATAAGCAACTGTACACAAAGAAGAAAAGAGAACTGCCTCCATTCATTCATTCATTCATTTTCCGAACCGCTTGATCCTCACCAGGGTCGCGGGGGGTGCTGGAGCCTATCCCAGCCGTCTTC